TTGTTGGCATTCCAAGCTTAAATGGTACATAAAAATTTCTGTCTGCTGATGTACTGCTATTGGCAGGCACAGTACATTTTTTAGCTAAGCAATGTCAATTGTTGCTATAGCACTACTAAAATTACAATACAGCTACATAATAATTGAGAGGGGTACACTTGGGTAAATGTGGGAAAAGTCAAAGGTTAATTATGAGAGGGGAAATGTCATCCTTCCCAGTCAGTGACAGGATTACTGATAGTGACAGGACCGCAATCCAGTTTGAGATCTTACTTCTTGGAAGGCACAGTACTAGTGGGAAAGACACTAAATAATTAGGATGAAATCTGGTACATACTTGCACAGGCCACTGGACAGGATAGGGGAAGATTTGGGAGTGTCAGGAGATAGCCTACATAAAGTAGATCCGAGATTAAATATTTTTAAAAATAAGGTCAGTTTGTGTTCAGAGAGCAGAGTAATTCAAAGTGTCTTGATTATAGGTACCTATAACCTATAGGTAAACTCATTAGTCAACAGAGCCAAATATCAATAGTGCAACGATTGAAATTTCTTCTGAGAGCCACATTTTTTAAACTTAAACTATATAAGTAGGTACACTGTTATTAACTTAATTAGGGTATTCCTAAGGCTTAGGAAGAGTACCCTAAGGGGCCAAAGAGCCGCATGTGGCTCGAGAGCCTAAGTTTGCCAACCACGGACCTATAGGATGGGGTTAAGCAGGTAATCAGAGGTTAGTGAAGGCTGAAGCCTTTGATTTTGTTGGAATGTAGTGCAGAGAGACTTTGAAGATATGGTATTGAAAAGAATGCACTGGAAGGGAGATGAGAGGAAGACAAATTGTGAGGTCTCTGTAATAAACCGGGAACCTCATTACTTAAAATTATCTAAATTAGAACTTCCAGGATATATTTTACTTCAAAATGATTTAACCACATTCTAAACAAGTTTTAGATGATTTGTGGTGTTCTCTAACAGAACTGGCATATAATATTGAATCAGATCGCAGAGGATTATTTTAGCTTTATGGCCAGATGTAGAGACATATGTAAAGGTCTGGAAGCCAACAGATATGTTGAGAAATGCAAATTCTCAGAGTGAAAGGATTTGGAATCCTACATGGCAGCAGATGATCAATAGCTGGTTGCTTTAAATTAAGATTTCATATTAGTTCACCAGGAAGTAAAATTTTGTAAGCATAATAAACTGCTTTAACCTTCTATCCATGGTCAGCAAATTGCGGCTCTTTGGCCCCTTGAGTGTGGCTCTTCCTAAGCCTTAGGAGTACCCAAATTAAGTTAATAACAATGTACCTACCTATATAGTTTAAGTTAAAAAATTTGACTCTCAAAAGAAATTTTAATCATTGTACTGTTGATATTTGGCTCTGTTGACCCCCTCCCTCTCCCTCTCCCTCAGAATCAAACCTGCAATCCAGGCATGTGCCCTGACTGGGAATTGAACCATGACCTCCAGGTTCATAGGTTGATACTCAACCACTGAGCCATGCTGGCCGGGCAGATGCAGGCTTTTCAGTGCTAAATCTGGGACAGTCCTGAGCCAAACAGGATGGTTGATCATCTTAAGAGGAGAAGAGATGGTGACATCCCCAATCTTTTTAAAATTTGAACTAATTCAGCAGACTAACTAGTTAGTTAAAAATTTACTAAATCCTCCCCCCAAAAAGGAATTTACTAAATTCTAGTAGCCACATAAGGGGATACCAAGACAAATGAAGACATATTGAAAAGAACACATCTCCTCAGAGAATTTTCAATCTAAGTTAGTCTTCCATTCATTCATTTATTGACTCAATACATTTTTATTGACTGCCTGCCTATGCTAGGCATTGAGGGTGGGGATACATCAGTGAATAAGACAAACATGGAACCTGCCCTCATGAATCTGACTGAGGAATGGAGAAGGCATTGAACCTGAGTGAAAAAAGGCGAAATGGAAATAATTCTCACCTTGAAGTAGAGTTGGGAAGCTTAACTGAGTTAATGTCTGGAGACTCCATGAAAGCGAACATTATGTTACAATTATAATAACCACATAATTGTAACTATGTCTTCTGAAAAGTCCTGATTTATAAGATCACATTTCCCCATTTGTGCATGATGGGAAAAAAAAGGGTGTGGGGGGGGGGATGAACCTAGAAGTCAGGAGAACTGAGGCTTAGTTCTGGTTTGGATACTAACTTCTGTTTGCAGGAGTCATTAAGGTCTTTGTTCCTCAATTCCCTCACAATACCCTGGCCTCCTTAGAACACCTCACAGTTGCATTGTGCACTCATTTGTGAAAAAAAGGCTAATATGCAAATTAACCCTAACAGCAGAACTGGGAATGACTGGTCACTATGACACACACTGACTACCAGGGGCAGATGCTCAATGCAGGAGCTGCCCCCTGGTGGTCAGTGCGCTCCCACAGGGGGAGCTCTGCTCAGCCACAAGCCAGGCTGATGGCTGCCAGTACAGCAGTGGTGGTGGGAGCCTCTCCCGCCTCCTCAGCAGCGCTAAGGATGTCTGACTGCAGCTTAGGCCTGTTCCCCGCTGGCAAGTGGACATCCCCCAAGGGCTCCCAGGCTGCCAGGGGGATGTCTGATTGCCAGCTTAGGCCCAATTCCCTGGGGAGCAGGCCTAAACCAGCAAGTGGTCATCCCCCGAGGGGGTCCCAGACTGTGAGAGAGGGCACAGGCCGGGCTGAGGGACCCCCCCTGAGTCCACAAATTTTTGTGCACTGGACCTCTAGTTTTATATAAAGTTCTATATATTTTTAAGTTCACTAAATGTTCTAGGAATGTAACTACTATGTGAGCCAAGAGAAGATTAAGCATTGTTTGCTGGGAGCATTACTAAGAAGCATTCATTATTTTGAAAACTCATGGCTCAACCAACAGTGCCCATGGTTTGTGCATCTCCAGTACCTGATCAAACTTGTGGTTGTTGGATTCACAGTGATAGTACCCATAGGTCTGAGCCTCTGAGTGCCTAAGAGTTTACATTCTGATATATATTATTTTATTATAAGTGTGTTTTATTTATCCTTTGTTGTATAGTTAGGTCATTATGTTGGTTTACAAATGTTTTGGGTAAATTATATTACCCATGCATTTCATTTCAGGATAGCAGAGGCAGCATTACAAAATGTTTGTTATAAAGAGGGGGCATTAGGCCTGATAGAGCTCTGGCCAGTAAAAACAAGCACAAGCCAAGAAGCAGACACATAAACACAATCCACGAGTGGAAATAACATCTGGAGGATGTTGCGTCTGTTTCCCACAGGTTGGCTTGAGTTCTGGGGGCCTGGGCGGAGCTGAGCCTCTGA